ACAACAGTCGATAAGCAAGGACCATCTGTATGATGCTTGATTAGTATTATGTAAGCAACACTGGGAAAGGTTAAGATTATTTTAAGGAATGTATTTTTATTCCAATATAAAAGGTGCATCACACTAGCAGTAAATCTAAGCATTGGTCATATTTATTGCCTATCGCTTTGATTTTTCTGAGAGAAAAACATTACTCGGAACTCATGCTGTAGCAATAAAGAAAACAATGGAAAATGTACAAAGGGATTAAATGTGCAGAACACACAAGTTCCCACTCAATACTTGTATGGTAGAACCATAACCATGGCTACACTAATCATTTTTATCTTAGGTTTTTAAAATACCACCATGCTGGAACTGGCCAGAGATGGAAAGAAGGATTTAGAGCAGCACTATAGGAGATTTAAAGCTAAATTATGAGTTAGGGTACAGAGCATGCTTTATGGCAGGAGAGCTAGCAATTACATGATGCAGGAAGCATAACAGGAAATCTGAGCCCCTTGAAATAATGTTCCATATGCTCCCTCTGCTAAATAATTTGGGTGAACAATTGATTGCTAACTTAACAGTCCCTATTCTCTCCAACAGTATTCATCGGAAATACATTTGTCTGTACCTCCCAGCAGTTCTAAATTTATCATAAAGTAAAATTATGGCTTGTCTCGTGGACATCACTCAGAACTAAACTTCATGTTTGAAAAACAGAACTACAGCTATAATAAATTATATATTTATTAAGGTTCCTGTGCATTCACGGAATTGATTTTTCTGACTGCTACCTCTTTATTAAACCAAGCCCTATAAAAAAAAGTAGGGGGAAACTTGTTCAGCAGAAACTAAGATAAAAACTAAGTTGCTGCTGCACCTAATCCGTTTTGAAACCTGCCAAAATGCTTACACTGAAACAAAAAGAAAAAAAATTTAGACAGTTTGAATATGCAAGAGAACCAGAAGATAAAGAAGAGATTAGGATATCTAGGTTGAAGAACTTACCTTTCCTGGCCAAGGAGGATACCGCCCCAGCTTCCCCCTACAGAAAAATCAGAAGTCAGTCAAACACTACTAAAAACAGCAGCAGCAATTCATCAATATCCCACCCCTATATACTATTAGAAAATAAATTGAAAAGTTATTTAGTGAAACCAAGTGTGGTTACAGGACAATACTCTTTTATGAAAATTACAAATGAACATTACTCTGAAATTCTGGCAGATCTAACTAATAATTTCTTTGGTGCAAAATGCTTTCACAAATGGCAAAAAATGGTTTATATTCACACTGCCTATCCGCTGTTAAAAACAAAGACCAGCTCCTGCAAACAACTATCAACCTTTGTCATGCTTCCAACTTACTCAGTAGGGGCAAACTAGAAACAAATAATCTAGCAGTCTGCAAAATTAAGACTCAACTTGGCAAGTCTCGATGCTCCTTCATTTCTTTCACAAGTCTTTTATTTAAAATTATTATTGCATGGCTTATGGATTCTTAGAACTGAGAGCAACTGCTCTTTAAATGCCCTACTTTTCAGATTAAAACAGTATCTTCTGGTAAAATCAACTGCCTACTCTAGCTTCTACCAGTACTAATTCAGATTTAATAGCTTTCCTTTAAAAAGCAACTCTATGAAAATAGAGCAAGCCTATATTGCCAAAATGTCAGATGATTGGAATTCACATTAAAGAGTAATATCCAAATGCACAAAGTCATGGAAAAGGGGACAAGGTATGTTTTTTTTAAAGTATACTGAATTAGACGACTTTGCACTCAAACTGGGCATACAAATTACAAAGGATCAATGATGCTGTAACTTTTGGCACTGTTTCCAAATGGCTTCCAAACACAGGAAAAAGAACCATAGTCTCAACTGTCAGTACCTATCCTTCCATCCGCTCACCATCCAATTATAACCAATGAAGCTTCTTGGATAAGAAGCGAAACGTCTTCTTCCTCAAATAAAAAACAGTCCAGTTGCCTTTTGAAGGGGGGGGGGGAAGCATCTTTGAGACAACTATGACCTTGATGACTGAAATTCTCCATAGACACACATGAAAAAGAAGGATGTTGTGGGCATGCCACACACCCACAAGGGGCCTTTGCTTGAGCTACTTTGTCAGACTACATAAAAGCAGAATTTCTTTGTCTAATAGCTTTATAAATTTCAATGGTTTGAAACTATTTTTAATCTTTCTGATGCCCCCAAGGATTCAAAACGACCAGTGAGATCCCTAAGACATTGAAATATTTATCACAGATAAAAAAAGTAGCACTCTTTTCTCAGATTTGCACAGAAGCCTGAAAAATAGGCTACTTTAATATGGAGAGAAAGGGACTGTGCTGGCAGAAGAGGCAAAGTACTTCTAAATCATATTTTTGAAATATGCAGCCCAAAGATATATCACTCAGCTCAATCAAGCACAGTACAGGTAGTCCTCGGCTTATGACCACAACTGAGCCCAAAATTTATGTTGCTAAGTGAGAAATTTGTTAATTGAGTTTTGCCCCATTTTACAACTTTTCTCACCACTTTTGTTAAGTGAATCACTGTTCTTAAATTAGTAATATAGTTGTTGAGAGACTCTGGATTTCCCATTGACTTTGCTTGTCATAAGGTCGTAAAAGGGGATCACGTGACTGCGGGACATAATGCAACCGACATAAATGTGAGTCTGTTGTCAAACATCCAAAGGCAAAGCACATGACCATGGGGATGCTGCAACAGTCTTAAAGGTGAAAAACAGCCATAAGTCACTTTTTCAGCGCCGTTGAATGGTCACTAAATGAACTGTTGTAAGTCGAGGATGAGCTAGACATCAGTCTCAGCATTCTCTTTATGACAACTGCAAAAAAGGTCATAAAATCATGTCAGCTCACATGCTGACTCCTTTTACGACCATCACAATTTCTGACTGTAATTGCTCAATTTACAGTCGTAATTTCAGAACTACCTGCACTAAGAACAGTTTAAATGCTTGTATTTTTCTCTGATTTTCAGTATCATGCTTTCCCCTTCCCCAGAAACCTACTTATTACATTACTTAAGAGGACCATAAACTACCACCAGCTACCAAAATGATATCACTACAGTAAGGGTGTCAAACTCACATCAAAGTGGACTTTCCCCCTCTTTGCATGCATCTGGCCCGGGGCCACGAGTTTGACATCCTTGCCCTATAGAACACTAGAGACATTATGGATCTGCAAAGGCTATAGATGACTTAACCAATTTAGCCCTGAATCTTTGCTGAAAAAATTCACTTGTTTATTTAATTTGATATTAATGGATGCTAGCAGGGAATGGAGAGTTATTATGTTCATAACAGAGTTCAGAATTATCACGTCAAAGGAAACTGGGTAAGAGATGCCAAAACTGTTGCTTTTCTTTCCAAACCATTAAGAAGTCAATATTTTCAATATTGAATATTAAATCAATATTAAATCCAATAATGCCAGTCCTAAGATGCAAAGTGAAGGACGCTTAGCTTTACACTAATGTAGTGTATTTATATCTAATCTAATCTTACAATCTAATTGTAATGGTAAACATTTAGTTCTACCAACAGTCACATGTCTGAAGAGGTAGAAAAAAATTAACTTTTTAAGTGCATAGTCTTTGCATCTTTGATGAAAATTCATATTTACCAAAAGCTTTCATAATCTCTTCAGAAATTTTTTAAAAAAGCTGAATCTCTTTATAAATACAATGGGGGCTGCTATATAAACACTTTCATCTTCTGAAACATCAAATAAGTAACACGTCAGGTTACACTTTCATATCCCTAAATCCACTCCATTCAATTGGTAATTGGGGTTTCCTCTGTATATCATAGGTAACTATTAAGTTGTAAAAGCCCCTCATTATTATGGGCATTATACAATGAAGACACTCCAACTGCCCAACAATAATACAGCTCAATTCACTGATGGCGCACATTTAAAGATAGGCTTTACAAGTTCCAAAAATTCTCAACTGGCACATAATAATCGGTCAGCTAGTAGCTGTCAAAGAACTTAGGTAGAAACCTACCTACATAAGTTAGAAACCTATACCTTACATAGCCCTTAACCAACAATAACGTGTTGCAAATCATGGAGGATCAAGGACAAATATAAACCATGCATCCAATTGTTAATTTCAAGGAGAACTTTCACTCTAATCTTGCAATTCCTAACAGGAAAAAAAACCCTGTACTCACTGTACAGTTGTTGTATTAGTAATCTACATCATAAGGTAAAGAAGAACAAGAGTCTGCAAGGTTTACTGGTCTGTGGAAACAACCCTATGTCATTTATTTACATGGAAGCAAGTCCATTCAACTCATGGGATTTATTTGGAAGTGGCCCATTTTATAAATTTTACAGGATATATTTATAAAAGGGACACCAGCAAAACAAAATCTAGATGAAGGCAATAAGACAGCAAAGAATAGCTCCCAGAGCCTCTGTCCATAAATTTAGTTAAAATAAAGTATTGCCTGATTAAGCCACTTAGGTACCTGTTTAGAACATTGTGTAGGAAACCGCAGTACAATTTCAGACCAGCCCTTCCTGACCTTGTTGCATTTCAAATGAGAGATGTCAACTCCCAGAATTCCTCATATCCATGGCACTGGAATTTGGGAACTGAAATCCACACAGCAGATATGTTGGGTGGGAAAAGACTACCAGACATTATCCAATTTTGCTGGGCATTCTTAAAGGAGCCAAGCTGTCCCCATAAAAGTTCTTGCAGGAATCTATCACTTTGTTGTTGTTTGTATGTAAACTGAGAGCTTCTGCACCTGAGACAAATTCCTTGCATGTCCAATCACACTTGGCCAATACAGAATTCTATTCTAGTCTATTCTATTTACCCATCCTATTAAGAAATTGCCCAAAAACTAAATGAGCCTCAGCCCTCCTCCTCCTTTTGCTTCAACATCAGCTACTCTCTAATTATAGGAATTGCCAAGTACCCCGACCACATTCTTTCTCTCCATGGAGCAAATCTGTATATTATTATCCTTTGCAAGAGGGATACTGCTTCAACAGCCAAGAAATAAAAATGCATCTAAGTTGGAACTTGCTGACCAATAAATAACTGGCTCTTCCTTTACATTCCCAATGCAGAGAAGGGAAGCGCTGTTGGGATTCAGGGCAACTTACTTTTAGTCAGTTGGTTTAGTTTACTTTACTTTATTGTCATTGCACCTTGTACAACGAAATTAAGTACCATCTTCAGTGTACATTATAACTATTAAAATAAAACACAAACACACATCCTTTGCGTTCTATACAATTGAATTTAAATTAATATTGCAATAATATTGCAATATAATTCAATATTGCTGAATTGAATAGAAGCTGTTTTTCGGCCTATTTGTCCTTGTTTTTATCGTCCTGCACCGTCTGCCAGATAATAGTTTTTAAAAAAAAGAGTGCACAGGATGAAATGGATCTCGTCTCACGGGAAGGTTGGGCTGCGAGTAAGGAAGACGCAAGCGACCCCTCCCCACCCCGCCGCCCTTGTCGAAACCGGGAAGGAGCTTCTCGCTCCTTCCTCCATTTGGCTGCCCACGGAGGGCCCCGCAGGGAGACGTAGCCGTTGCTGCTGCTTCCTCCTAGAGGCTCCCAGGCTTCGCCTCGGCCCAGGCATCGCTCTTCCCCACCCGGCGGGCTCTCCCACCCCTTCTCCAAGGCAGCCCCGTCTTCGGGGCCGGCTGTCACCCGGAGATCGAGGCTCTGTGCGAAGCGGCCGGAGGAGAGCCGGGGGGGGGGGGCCTCCGCGTCTTCCTCGCTCCAACCCGGGAGGGCTCGGGACAGGGAGGGATACTAAGGGGCTTCTCCCCTCCCCTTCTCCGAGGAAGCCCCTCCCGCCAAACCTCACCGTCCGTCTCTCAGTTTCACCCCGGCCGGTCCGACGCGCCACTCCGGTCTTCCACGGCTTTTGTCGGCGGTTTCTCTCTCCGCCCCCCACCCCCTTTATTTTATTTTATTTTTTTGAAGGGCTCGGCCCGCCCTCCCCCTCCTCCTCCCCTCATCAGGCCCAGCGGCCCCGCCCTGCCCTGCCCTTCTTCCCTTCCCCCAAGGCCGCGTCCGGCACTCAGCGGCACCCCTCGACCCCGCACTCACCACACTAAGTCTCCCAGCCGCAGGTTCACAGGCGGCGCCGCCGCCGCCGCCGCCGCCGCCGCTGCCGCCGCCATCTTCCCGACCCAGCCGGCACCGTCGCTGCGCCTCGGCCGCCACACCCTCCTCCTTCTCGCGCCGACCGGCTCCTCCGCGAGCCCCGGCTCGTTCGGTCGCTCGGTCGCCGCCTTCCTCCGCCTCCTCCTCCGCGGCCGGTTCGCGCACCGTCCGCACCTTCTCCTTCTCCCTTCTTCTCCCTCAGGCAGGGACGGGCTGGGAAGAACAGCGAGTGGGGGGGGGGGTGAGAAGCAGAGAGGGGAGCCCCGATAGGCTGGGCCCCTGCACGTGATGCGGGGCGCGGCGTCCGCGGGGCGCCCCCACGTGACCCGACGCCGCCGATGCCGTTCGTTGTCGTCCCCCCTCCTTTCCTTCCCCTCCCCTCCCCGCGCGCCTGGAAGGCGGGGGCGTTGGCGTCACGTGACTCGCTCGCTCGCTTTTCTTTTTTTTTCTCCTCCCTATTTTCCCCCCCCCCTTCTCGCCCCGGCTTCCCTTGCGCGCGCGGGGCTGCCTCGGCTCACCCCTGGCACGTGACGCGGGAGCTCCGAAGAGACAGAGAGAAGGCATCTTGGCTGGGCCGGGCAGAGGGTTAGAAGCGAGGCTGACGGGGCGCCGCTGGTGGGAAGAACGACGGCGGTCGGCCTCAGGAGGAGGAGGAGGAGGAGGACGAGGCCGGCAAGGGCTGGTGAGCGCAGCGGGAGGCTCGCGGTGGGGGAGGATACAGAGCGCGAGAAGGGACAAACCTCCCGGCGCGCGAAGGCGCCTCCCTCGTAACTAGGGGCAACGGGGCCTTGCTCTCCGCCTCGCCGACTGGGGGTGTGTGGAGGGGGGGAGGTTGATAATAATACTAAGCGGCGCCTCTCACACCTGTCGGGACGCCTTCCCTTCATCCCGGCTTCCAGCAGCCCCGGGCGGGTTGTCACTAAATTGCCTCCTCGCTTTCTGGGCCCGCTCGCCGCCTGCGAAGGCCAAGACTCCCGACGGGTCGGCCCCAAACGAGGTGGGGGACGGTCGTGGGGTGGGAGGAAAGTAGGCAGGCCTGACCCGGCCTAACCTGCCCCCACAAGACGGGCCACTCTGGGGAGCCTCAGCTTGGCTTCATTGAACCAACCGCTCCCCCCACCCCGACTCGGCCTACCAGATGGGAAGGACTCCCAATTCCCATTCCCAATCGGGGCTTCTGCTAATTATTGTTTATCCAGTAATCCCTAAGCAGAATAAGCTGGTCTGGGGAGGAGGGGGAGGGAAATTGGGAGTGGGGGGGTGTTGTTGTTTTGCCAGGGTTGGGCTCCTGTTTGGCTGGCACCTACCTGTTGGCCCTGAAGGGAGAGTGGCTGTCAGCCAGTAGGCGGGTATATACATATTCTAAATAAAATAAAATTTGGAGCCACAGCCCTAGCTCAAAGCTCTTGTGTTGCTGCAGGTGAAGGAGGAAGAGGGGGGGCCCTTCGGCCAGAACTGAGCAGCAGGACGTTCCCCCCCCCCAAATATTCAAGGTGCAGCTGAGATTCTTTGCAGAGCAGCTGGAGAGGAAGAAGACCTCCTTTCAGAAAATTTTCAACCCTCCTTTGGGATGGATGCCCTTCAAATTCAGGAAGGTAATAGCTCTCTTCCTCCTTGCTCTCTATCCTTTGATTAACAGATTGACAGATGGTGTAAGGACCTCCTGCTTGGGCAGGGGGTTGAACTAGATGACCTACAAGGTCCCTTTCATCGTCCTAGATCAGCGTTCTTTAAAGGTCCCCACTTTTTAAGGCAGAGCCCCCAAAGAGCTTTGAGGGGGGGGCTTTCTTTTTTGATGGTTTTCTTGCAGGTATTTCATGACCCAAACTAGGCAACATCATCACTGTCTACTGTTGATGTTTACCAGCAAGAAAACCGATCAGAGCTCAGGGAGTACCCAGGATTCCTCATTTCAACCCTGAGCTACAAGCCTTCTCCTTTATCGAAGCTTTCCTTTGCATCTGTTGTCATTGTCGATATTCGCCGTATGAAAGATTAAAATGGATGCCCTCACTGCTGCTACTGCTTCTGACGGTTGTTTGGTAGGATTTTGATATGGTATTGTTTTTCAGCGTAAGGTGGCCAATAATTATGGTTTCACAGACCCCTGAGAGGTCTTGAAAGATACCCAGGGATCTTAAGAAACACCATTCTAGATATATTGTCTTTATGTTGTACTAGATGACCTGTGACTTGTTGGGTCATTGTTTCAGAGGTATTTCCTAATCAAATTCCTCAACGCCTTCAACAGTGGCAGAATTTTTAACATACTGGCTTCTCTTGAAAAATTCTTAAAAATTCAGGGAGATATTCAGATATCTTCTGCCTTGAAAATAGCCCATGTTGAACTGTAGAGCATGACAGCAGTTGATCGTAGAAAATGTTTGTGTCATGGAGTGTTTTACAAAATTACAACATTTACAAAATGTTTTCACAAAATTTCAGAAACCCTAGTTCCCAGATTTTGGATACATTCTGTAAGTTAGTCCATTTGAGGTGTCCTGGTTTAAAATGTTTTGCTCTATGATATACCATTTCTCCCAATTAAAGGCTACAGACACAATAGTGGTATGTGGTTAAATTGAGGATTTTGAAATCCTTGTTCCATTTGTTTTGAAAAATATTCAGGGACAGAAGCAAGTGCTGTGGTGGTTGATGTAACATTTCTAATTTGGGGATGGGGTTGTTTCATAATATGCTACCTGTTTTTGCAAAAAGCAAAGCATTGTACTATAAAAAAGATTAACAATTTGTATTCCAGTATCAGTGCTATGTTAAACATTTTGAAAGATGGAATACAGCTATTTGTGGTTTGCCAATTTGAATTTATTAATGAGAAGGAATTTGAAATAAGGAGAAGGAGTTCAGTATTCTGATAGTACGGACAATACAACTTTGAAATAACAGGAGGGTGTGGAGAAAAAAAAACTTTGTGTTACCACAGATAAGGTAATCTGTTATCTTTCTGTAAACTGAACTAATGCTGAAGAAATTAGGGAAAGCTGGTTTGGTTTTGTTCATTTTGAAATGCTAGTGCTGGTAAATTTTTTAGTTTATACTGCTCTCTAGCAATTACACAGATTGGTTTTGATTTCTGTTTTCTGGTGTAATTCTGTAGAACAATAAATTATATGCAACTCCATAAAATGGAATGGGGGCTAATATAAGTGGGCATGAGATAGATTGGGCAATTCTAAAATTAAGTCTTTTTCCTTTAACACCAATATGGAAGCTTTCTGGTATCAGAGTAACCATGTTCTCTGTCCAATTAACCAGATGGTTTTGTGGTGGGAATAAATTGGAGGAGGAAGAACTATCTGTATGAACAGTGTGGAAAAACAGATTGTTAAATATATAATAAAAGGATCTTTTTTCCTGATCTTTTTAAGATCGGGAAATGAAAAAAGAAAGAAGTGAAGAAACAAGTAGAAAAGGAAATTAAAGGAGAAGTAAAAAATGGAAAGAATGTTCATTATTAAAGACGAACTTTTATTGAATGCTATACCTCTGACCTTCGTAATTTATGAATGGACAAGCAGTATCTGCATTTTCCTGTAAAGATACAATGTTGCACTATCAAACAAAAGCATTTTGCTATTCCAAGTATTAAATGAAGATAAGGAATCTCAAATGAAACAATGGAAAATGCAATAATGGGAGAGTGACTTAGACTATAAACCATTTTGCTAGAAAGCAAGAACTGCATTCTTGCAATTTATAAAATGGTCTTCATCAAGATGCTGCCCTTTAGATGCATTGGGATTTAAGACTCCTTGGCCAGCATTGAATCCAGACCACTGATGGGTGTCAAAAGGGGGAAGACTATGGTCAGGTAATTTACCAATGGTTTCAACACAGGGCTGAGATAAAGGACGTCCAGGAAAGAGCCATGATAATGGACAATAGAGAGAGAAGAATTTGAGATGACAGTAAAGTACTTTAAGTACACAAGTCAAAGATATAATATCAAGAGTTGAATGTAGGGAAATCTTTCTAGTATAGAATAAAATATTGCTAGCAGTTATGACCAAAGTTCAATAATCTTTTCAAGAGCCATCTCACATATCATGCTGTCTCACAGTTGCTGTCTTCATTTCTAAAAGGAGCACAGTGTTCCTTAAATCCACTCTACACTCTACCGTCAAGAGTCAAAGAGTGAGCCTGAAATCATTCAGCAAACATGGCTGAGCTGTATAATGTTTTGTTACGTTACACTAGCTTTTTAACAAGGCTTAAGCTTTGTCCTTAGAGAGTTCTTGTTTTGAAGCAAGTGCCTCCAAGGATGTGATCGAGGATCAGTGTATTTTCCTTGACTTGTTTGTGTCTATGCATCTCTTTTGGTGGGTTTTGAAAAAGAAAAAAGAACACTGTGCAAATATTTTATTTGTACAGTTTCACAGCTGAGTCAGAACAATCTGACTTGTCAAAGGTTTGGAAGTATTTTGACTCTGACAGTTTTCTCTTTTGCAGAAAGTCCTACAATTAAAGGTTTCTTTCTTTAAATGCCAGTGATCAATTTAGCATTTTGTATTGGTATAGTGTTGATTCCTGTGGTTAAAGTCACCTTTCTCACCTCACTTTTGGCCTCTCAAAATCACCAACATTGACTGGCAAATTTTCTGGTTTTCAGGGTATGATGTTGGATTTCTTTTGGAAAAAAATAGAAGGCCTCTCAGAGGAACAATAGATCCATTTGTATCTTTGCAACCCTGCCCTCCTCTCCCCTCAATACGTACATGTTTCTGGTGGTAGCTGACATCCCAGCAGATGGACCGGGCTCTGCGCCTCATATAGCATGTTGTTATCTGCTAAGAGTCTACACTTGAGCCTATTGATTTTACACTTAGGCACTCTACCCTCAACCTATTTAGGGTCCTCCCAAGTAGAGTAAGGGAGGTAGGATCCTTCAGCCATATCCCCCTTTAATTTTCATTCCTTGCTCAATGGTCTTCCTTCCTTCATCTTTTAATTCAGTTTTGTTCAAAATCCATTTGACTGATTTGGCACCTAATTTTTATCTGTTCAAGCTGTGGTCATAGGTGGCCTTTAATTGTCTTCATCCCTAGAAGTTCTATGGGGGACTTTGGGTCAGCTATGCTTTATGAGTCCAGCCTTCTTTAACAAGGTTCTTGTTTTGGAGGAAAATTGGAG